TTTCCCGAAACATTTCGATTATGAGCATTCAGTATGAAACACACCATTGTAAACAAGAAAAATTGTCTGATCAACCGCTAAATGATAAGATTTTTGATTGGAAGTGGCAACTAGGTAAGATGTGTCTACTTCCACACAAAATTGAAATTATGAATTAATAAATCAGTGCCTATAAGCCTTGGTAAAAACCTCAATAAGGCAATCACAATGCTTGGTAGGGAGTAATATTGAACACTTCCATGGACAGGTAATGATTGTTGCACACTTGAAATCCAGTCAAAGCGCCCCCTAACAAAACTGTCCCGGTCAAAGCGCCCCCTGATTTTGGTCAAAGAGGCCCCTGATTTTGGTCAAAGAGGCCCCTGATTTTGGTCAAAGCGCCCCCTGATTTTGGTCAAAGCTCCCCCTAAAGAATTTTACAGTAAAAAGATGTTACAAAACCATCCCCAAATATTGGTCAAAGCACCCCCTGATTTTGGTCAAAGTGCCCCCTGATTTTGGTCAAAGCGCCCCTTAATATAATTTTATAGAAAAATTCCGTTTCGAAACTGTCACCAAGCAATGGTCAACCCCCCCCCCCCCCTTATTTTGGTCAAAGCGCCCCTTAGATATTTTTATAGAATGTTCGTTTGCAAAAAGCCCCCTAAATTTGGTCCCTTTACTAATTCATGCTATTTATTTCTTTTGTTTGTTCAGCGTGACCAATGAAATATTTAAAAGGTTAATATAAAGTTTGAATAATCTTATAGAAAACATTTCCAAAGAAATGAGAATGTTCGCCGGTATCAATTAATTATCACCCTCCCCCCCTAAAAAAAAAAATGGGTATCGATACCGTTGCCCAACTCTTGCCACATGGAGGCCTTCTCAATAAGAGCCATAATTTTGAGTACAAATTGAATCATCAGTACTTGCTCAAATAAATTCTCAATATTTACCATTGGATGTACTTTGCCGAAAAATATCTGACATTCATGATACTTGAATTTTAATTATTACATTTTAATTAAATTCGTGCCTGAACGTAAGAAAATAAGAAAAACAATATGTAACATAGTGATATTTGAATATACTATTGATAAATAAATAATGAAAAAATTATTGATAAATAAATAATGAAAAAAAGGTTTCGTATGAAAAAATCAAGGGGCGGTATTTTTACATCATTTTCCTGTACAATTATAGTAGGGGGCGCTTTGACCAAAATCAAGGGGCGCTTTGACCAAAATCAGGGGGCTCTTTGACCAAAATCTGGGGGCGCTTTGACCGGGATGGTTTTGTTAGGGGGCGCTTTGACTGGTTCCTGCTCACTTTAGGCCAAAAAAATTAATAACTTGGTTCTCAGGCCAATTTTCTCAAAAATAAATATGGGAGGGAGGCATTTTTTCCCCCATTTTATCTCATAAAAAACAGACATGGGATTTTTGATTTTTTTTTTAAATATAATTTCAAAACTAGCAACTTTTAATCAACAGTGCTTCAACATCTAGTGTAGAAATCAAGATAATTTATTTCCTGCTTTTTTCTCTTTTATCTTGCATCTTCTACATTCCGATGATTCATGTAATGAAACGATGGCATCCTAAAAACCAGACGAGTTAAACTTGCAGAACCCAACACTTTTAGTGATGCATCCGGTCAATTGCTCACGTAACACAACTAATCTAAGCGTTTCAGCACTATAAATAGCGCTTATGGTTTTATTAAACATTGTCAAATTTATCAGTCTTTGGTTTACCTACACTAAATGAAATTTGCAAATCTTGCACGTCCGAGTTCCGAGGTTGAGGGAGCCGTCTTTGATAGCGTTAATGATCGAGTTCTAGCAGGGAAAACCTTCAGAAACCCCCACTTTGTACCGTGGAAGTACATTCCCTCTTGAATTTGTGCTGAAATCAATGCCATTATGACTAAACTTAATCTTGACACCTTATCCTGTTTACCCGACGGCCATATTTGTGAATTTTAAACTAGGCCAAAAGTCTGGATCATCTTGATGTTTGTCAAACGTTTTACTGATTTCTAAAATGCAGTCAAAATGCGGTGGGGAATTCCGGATTTTTTTTGGATCTGCACGAGCACATGAGAGAAGTTTTATTTTATTCATTTGAGGATAAAACTGGGTAATGCGCATTGTTGAATGAGATGCGGGTGGGCCTGAGAACCAAGTTATTAATTTTTTTAGGCCTTAAATGTACACAATGAATAATTCTCATTGAGTTATTTCATTAGGAAAATTAATATAAATGGTGTTCAGTCAACTTGCACACAACCCGAGTCATACACAAACGGAGTCGTACACAAGGAGTCAACTCGTATGGTGGCGGAGGATAGTTTTGGATTGAGTTTGGTCAAAAATTATAAAAAATAGAGAAACCTAAGGTTTGAATGCATATTATAGGTGATTTTATTGCTAGAATATTTTATGCGTGCATTTGGAGGGAAGTGGTGGCCTTGTATATTTTATTGATATATGACTCTTTAGTATCACTACTACTATTCGTAGGATATGGATTAGAAATACGAACCTTAAGTTAAAAATCACTCATTCGGGATTTCCTCAGAAAAGCGGGGTACTGGGTTCATGGGATGAATTGTAGCTTGAAAATGAGGTGGTTGAGTCAGTATCTCTTGCTGTTCAATGGTATGTACAGGCGTTGGTCTGCATTTTGTGTGGTAGCGTAGGGCATTAGCACAGGCCTGGAAGCTGTTGCGGATCTGGCGAAATAGTGAAAATAGGCTAAATTTTGATGAAATCTTGAGATTGTCCCTGTGCCATCATTTGAGCTCAATGTGTATGTTGTACATGTTTTATTCCTAAAAGCTTCAAATTCCTCAAGGGACTAGACCATACTATTGTTACATGTAGAGAGAATTTTAATTTTCCAGTGCACATTTTACAAGCAGCTCAATATTAAGGAAAACGTCAGCCAAAGGTTTTTCTTACAAATTTTACCTATACCATACACAAAAATCAATTTGTATATAAGGTTTTCCTGTGTATAAAAGTGAGGAGTTAATTTGTACACGAAGGTTTTTCTTACAGATATATATTAATTTTTAGAGAAATGAGAAGTCCATTTTATTTTTGCTGGACTAACTCGTATTTAGGAATTGGAATAATATTGTATTTATAATGGAATCCTGTCCAGTAGAAGCCGATTGTGGTACTTATTCAGTTACAAAGTTAACTCCCTCGGGAGATGACATATTAAGTTTAAAAGCCGGAAGTGAAGTTCTTACAAAAGCTGCCATTGATAGCTGGTGGTCTGGCAAATAAAGACTTGTTATTCTGAAGTTATGTCTATTAGCTGGTGGTCTGGCAATAGAGACTGGTGATCTGGTAAGGATGCAATTTCTAAATATAGAGATGTAAACAAAAATTAAAGTGAAACTACACAGGATTCATGAATAATAAGAGTGGTAGGATTGCTTTGGTGGTGATGGGTCTTCAAAATAGTCATGCTTTAAGTAAATGGTGGTCTTGCAGCGTGCGGGTATCAAAATACACTTACATGGCTGGCAGATATTGAATACATTAGCCAAGACTTGGATCCAAGAATTTACAAAAATGAAGAACATTTACATAAATACGCATCTTAATGCATAAATATGTATGTATGTATATATTGTTTTACGTCCCATTCGAGAATTTTTCACTCATATAGAGACGTCACCATATACCGGTGAAGGGCTTCAAATTTTGACCTTTACTCGGCACTCAGGGCCATTGAGCAGTGAGGGATCTTTATCGTGCCAACGCCAGCCGTGACACGGGGCCTCGGTTTTCAAGGTCTCATCTGAAAGACCTGCAACTTTCACTCCAAAGTGCCGAGCGCATGGCGAAGGAACAGTTGCTACCTATTTTTTATCGACTTAGGTCTGTCGCGGCCGAGATTCGAACTCACGACCTCCCGATCACAGAGCGAGCGCTTTAATGCATAAATACAATTGATTTGAATTAAGTTTTAAAATTTCTTTTCATGTAAATACATTTCCAGAAAACTTTTTTTAATTTTACACAAGGCAGTATAAATTATCGAATGACTATGTAGTAAAGTTTTTAGCTGCAGGCATTGCAATAAAAAAAAATTATTAAGAATCGTTGTGGGTATTTTCATGGATGTCTTCACTATTTATTTTTTTCTTTAAAATCTGAATTTCATAGTTGCAAGATTGTTACCCCTGAATAAAAGTTTGAGGGAAAAGACATGATTTTCTTTATTTGTATTCAGTTTCTTATTGCTCAGATTTTAAGGATTAATAAATAAAGCACCAACTATAATTTGTTGAGTAATGGAAGTAAAGTTATGAATTCTCTCCTCCTATTCTTTATAATTAAAAATTACTCTAAATGTTTGTTCCCTGGAACAGCTTGAAGATTCAGGGTCGGTATATTTGGAGTCTTTTTTGATAATTTGTAAATACCTAATTTTATTTATTAACGTTTAGATTTAATTATTTTCTTTTAAATTGCATATTTTAAATGTTAGGCATGTTATAAAATGTCATTTCACTTTACCCACTGTTTTTCACTCTTTTAAATTAAAGATTAGGGGACAATTATTTGATTCTGAAGGGGGGGGGGGGGGGGGGGCTGGCAAATTTTTCTGAGTCGGATTATTTATTTTCATGTTGGTCAAGGACAGATTATTTTTTTCCAAGATAATCAATGACAGATTTTATATTTATTTTCTCCTTCACTGAAAAAAAGTCTGACAAGCAAAAAAAAAGGGGGGGTCAAACTTTCCTAAAGGGGGGGGGGCACCAGTCAAGGACAGATTATTTATTTCCGAAATCGCCCCCCCCCCCCCCTCTCCTTAGAATCAAATGGCCGTCCCCTTAGTAGAAAGCTAGAAGTTTTAAAGTCGTCTGTGTGTATTGCAAGAAAATTAAATTTGGCTGTACAAATGCACTCGCAAGCTCTTGTACAGCCAACTTGTGCTGATATTCACCCGACCAATATAAATTCAGTAACCTTTTAGTATTTCAATATACAGGATATACTGGATATGTTGAGGAAAGGAGGAAAGAATTCTGCTTGGGGCATGAGAGCCATTCTTTTGAAGACTGGTGTTATAACACAAGATGAAACCACCATTGAATTATGGAACTTTAATATCATCAAATTTGTGTGTCTTCTTATGAAGAAAAAGATCACAGTCATAGGAAAATGTGATTGCAAAGAAAGACAGCTGAGGGAGGAAGAGCAAATATATATTTGGTAAGGGGTTTTATTGGATAATCCAAAATAAAAACAAAGGCTCAGCAAAAGGCTCAAGCAAGCTTTTCAGATCAAAGACTGTCCAGTGTCTGTTGTGTTGTCTGTTCACATTTCCAACTTTTGCAGAACAGCAGGGCCAATTTCAAGCAAACTTGCCACAGAGTGCATGTATTGGATGAAGGGAATTCAATTTTGTTCAAATGAAGGACCATGCCCCTACCAGGTGGAAAAGCAAAATTAGGACGGGGTCATTTAACAATTTAAAAATTTTCTCAAGAACCAGGGTTTGACACTAATGCTAATCTGGTAGTCCGAGGCTACATGTGTAGTAAATTTTGTCCTGGTGTCGTATTCCCTTGGAAGACTGGCCACTTAGTAAGCCTGCCACCTAGGGAGGAAGAGTGTCTTTATAGCCAGTCTTCCCCCTAACAAATCAGGCTTCCCCCTTTTAATTAGCATGCTATTGATATAGGTGTCCTGTTATATATAGGAAAGGGAACTGTTTTCCCGATATTGTATTTTGATTTGCTAAAAGATGCTATGAAATATGAGTCATTTGGTAGAAAATGTTACATTTTTATGCCCACCATAAATATGGCCACGGCATATAGTGTTTGTCATGTCTATCTTCAATCCTTCCATCTGTCCTTCCATCTCACATTGTGTTTAGCTCAGTTTCAAAGAAACTATTCAAGATATTTTTATCAAACTTCATATGCTGATACATATATTATTGAAAGCTATTCAACTGCATCAACATTTTTTGATCTTGACCTTCCCTTTGACCTTGATCTCACTTTTCTTAAATTAGTGTTTAGCTCAGTTTCAAAGAAACTATTCAAAGACATTTTTATCAAACCATATATGCTGATACATACTGGTGAGAACTATTCAACTTAATCAACATTTTTTGACCTTGACCTTTCCTCTGACCTTGACTTCACTTTTCTAAAATTTGTGTTTAATTAAGTTTTGAAGAAACTAATCAAGATATTGTTATCAAACTTCATTTGCTGATTCATATTGATGAGAGTTATTCATCTGCATCAACATTTTTGACCTTGACCTTTCCTTTGACCTTGACCTCACTTTTCTTTAATAAGTGATTATCTCAATTTTAAAGAAACTTAAGATATCTTTATCAAACCTTATATGCTTATACATATTGATAAGAGTTGTTCAACTGCATCAATGTTTTATGGCCTTGACTTCCTTTAACCTTGACCTCATTTTTTCTTAAATTAGTGTTAAGCTCAGTTTCAAAGAAACTATTCAAGATATTTTAATCAAACCTAATATCCTGATTCATATTGGTGTGAGCTATTCAACTGCAGCAACATTTTTTACCTTTCCTTTGACCTTGACATCATATTTGTGTTTAATTTAATTTCAAAGAAGATATTTTTATCAATTTGAAACTTTATATGCATGATATTTTTATCAAGCTTTATATGCTTGTGCATATTGATGAGAGCTATTCAGTGACTTTTTTTTACCTTGACCTTTCCTTTGACCTTGACTTCAAATTTGTGTTTAGTTAAATTTCAAAGAAAGTATATAAGATATTTTTATCAAACTTCATATGCTTATACATATTGATGAGAGCTATTCAATGGCATCAACATTGACTGTGACCTTTCCTTTAACCTTGATCTCACTTTTCTCAAATTTGTGTTTAGCTTAGTTTCAAAGAAACAAATTGAAATATTTTTATCAATCAGCATATGCTGATACATATTGAGGAGAGCTATTCAACTTCGTCAACTTTTTTGTCCTTGACCTTTCTTTGACCTTGATTTAACTTTTCTCAATTTTGTGTTTAGCTCAGTTTCAAAGAAATTGTTCTAGATATTTTTTATATTAGCTTGCTCAATTTTATATTATTTGGTGAGAATTTATCAACTGTGTCCAAATTTTCTTTTTACCTTGACCTTCCCAATGACCTTTGACTTTACTATTTATTGTGTATAAAACTCAGTTTCAAAGAAACTCTTCAGGATATTTTTATCAAACTTCATGCACTAATACAAATTTTCATGTTTCATTACTAATGAATCCTTAGCAGGGCATTCATGTCCTATGGACATATTTCTAGTTGACCTTTACCTTTCCTTTGACCTTGACTTCAAATTTGTGTTTACAGGGCTCTCACACCACTCTTTTGGTACTGGGGCTGGGGCCGTTAAAATTGTGAAAATTACCGACTTGATGGGAATTTAGGGGAAAATCAATACATTAAAATTCATCATATTTGGGTTTCTAGCATTTGATATCATCTAGATTCCATTTTGCTATATGCAAAAGTATGAGTAGCAAGTTTATTTACATTTATCTAAATATATGTTCTTTAATTTTATGGGGGTAATGACTATTGGGAAAAATGTCATATTCATTTGGGAAAAATGTGCCTTTTTAGCTCACCTGAGCCGAAGGCTCAAGTGAGCTTTTCTGATCACATTTTGTCCGTCGTCCGTCCATCCGTCTGTCTGTCCGTCTGTCTGTCTGTCTGTCCGTCTGTAAACTTTTCACATTTTTGACTTCTTCTCAAGAACCACTGGGCCAATTTTGACCAAACTTGGTACAAAGCATCCTTGGGTAAAGGGGAATTTAATTATAAAAATGAAGGGCCAAGTCCCCTCACAAGGGGAGATAATCAAGAGAAGACAAAAATAGGGTGGGGTCATTAAAAAATCTTCTTCTCAAGAACCACAGGGCCAGTAAAGCTAAAACTTATATGGAAGCATTCTGGGGAAGTGTAGATTCTAAATTGTTCAAATCATGACCCCCAGGGGTAGGGCGGGGCCACAATAGGAAATACAAGTTTTACATTAAAATATATATAGGAAAAATCTTTAAAAATCTTCTTCTCAAGAACCACTGGGCCAGAAAAGCTGAAACCTATGTGGAAGCATCCTGGGATAGTGTACATTCTAAATTTTAAAAATCATGACCCCCGGGGGTAGGGCGAGGCCACAATAGGGAATCCAAGTTTTACATTGAAATATATAGGAAAAATCTTTAAAAATCTTCTTCTCAAGAACCACTGGGCCAGAAAAGCTGAAACCTATGTGGAAGCATCCTGGGGTAGTGTAGATTCTAAATTGTTCAAATCATGACCCCCGGGGGTAGGGCGGGGCCACAATAGGGAATCCAAGTTTTACATTGAAATATATAGGAAAAATCTTTAAAAATCTTCTTCTCAAGAACCACTGGGCCAGAAAAGCTGAAACTTATGTGGAAGCATCCTGGGGTAGTGTAGATTCTAAATTGTTCAAATCATGACCCCCGGGGGTAGGGCGGGGCCACAATAGGGAATCCAAGTTTTACATTGAAATATATAGGAAAAATCTTTAAAAATCTTCTTCTCAAGAACCACAGGGCCAGAAGAGCTGAAACTTATGTGGAAGCATCCTGGGGTAGTGTAGATTCTAAATTGTTCAAATCATGACCCCCGGGGGTAGGGCGGGGCCACAATAGGGAATCCAAGTTTTACATTGAAATATATAGGAAAAATGTTTAAAAATCTTCTTCTCAAGAACCACTGGGCCAGAAAAGCTGAAACTTATGTGGACGCATCCTGGGGTAGTGTAGATTCTAAATTGTTTAAATCATGACCCAGGGGGTAGGGCGGGGCCACAATAGGGAATCCAAGTTTTACATTGAAATATATAGGAAAAATCTTGAAAAATCTTCTTCTCAAGAACCACTGGGCCAGAAAAGCTGAAACTTATGTGGAAGCATCCTGGGGTAGTGTAGATTCTAAATTGTTCAAATCATGACCCCCGGGGGTAGGGCGGGGCCACAATAGGAAATACAAGTTTTACATTGAAATATATAGGAAAAATTTTTAAAAAACTTTTTCTCAAGAACCACAGGGCCAGAAAAGCTGAAACTTATGTGGAAGCATCCTGGGGTAGTGTAGATTCTAAATTGTTTAAATCATGACCCCCGGGGGTAGGGCGGGGCCACAATAGGAAATACAAGTTTTACATTGAAATATATAGGAAAAATCTTTAAAAATCTTCTTCTCAAGAACCACTGGGCCAGAAAAGCTGAAACTTATGTGGAAGCATCCTGGGGTAGTGTAGATTCTAAATTGTTCAAATCATGACCCCCGGGAGTAGGGCGGGGCCACAATAGGAATCCAAGTTTTACATTGAAATATATAGGAAAAATCTTTAAAAATCTTCTTCTCAAGAACCACTGGGCCAGAAAAGCTGAAACTTATGTGGAAGCATCCTGGGGTAGTGTAGATTCTAAATTGTTCAAATCATGACCCCCGGGGGTAGGGCGGGGCCACAATAGGGAATCCAAGTTTTACATTGAAATATATATAGGAAAAATCTTTAAAAATCTTATTCTCAAGAACCACTGGGCCGGAAAAGCTGAAACTTATGTGGAAGCATCCTGGGGTAGTGTAGATTCTAAATTGTTCAAATCATGACCCCCGGGAGTAGGGCGGGGCCACAATAGGAAATACAAGTTTTACATTGAAATATATAGGAAAAATCTTTAAAAATCTTCTTCTCAAGAACCACTGGGCCAGAAAAGCTGAAACTTATGTGGAAGCATCCTCAAGTAGTGTACACTCTAAATTGTTCAAATCATGACCCAGGGGATAGGGCGGGGCCACAATAGGGGGAATCCCAAGTTTTACATTGAAATATATAGGAAAAATCTTTTAAAATCTTCTCAAGAACCACTGGACCAGAAAAACTGAAACTTATGTGGAAGCATCCTGGGGTAGTGTAGATTCTAAATTGTTCAAATCATGGCCCCTGGGGGGAGGGTGGGGCCACAATAGGTATTACAAGGGGGGAGTCTGGTAATGAACAGCATGGCCAAAGTTACTCAGGTGAGCAATGTGGCCCATGGGCCTCTTGTTTTGAATTGAGAGAATGTAGCCTTTCAATCGAATTAAAATTAGATGTTCCGAACCCACTACCGCTTCTCAAACATCTAACAACATCCAATTCGGGGTCACGTCAGAGCGACCTTTCGATTAGCCAATGAAATTGCTGCCTCTGAAACCTTGGCTTATAGTTCGGATGCGTTTCTTTTTTTCACTGCCAAACCTAAACGCCCGAGGAGTTTCGTAGTAAACAAAATATGTATGGCAAAGGCTGTTCTATGTATGAATGTGACGTGCGTATAGTTTGTGCATTCTCGTTTGCGTTATTCAGGTAAGAATGCCAGATTGGCGGACTATACATTCAATTTATACCAAAATTACTTTAATTCAACATAAGACAGACTACTGAGCATCAATAATGTTAAGATGTAGCTGTGGAACTAATTATAGAATCGTATACAGAAGCTCAAATCTGATTGGCCAAAATTTTCATGTCGCTCTGTCGTGACCCCGAATGGGATGTTGTTAGATGTTTGAGAAGCGGTAGCAGATTCAGAACATCTAATTTTAATTAGATTGGAAGCCTTTCAACGGCCCCAATTATAGAAAATCGAGAGTCCTGGTTTAGCTCAAAGAAACTGTTCAAGATATTTTCATCAAACTTCAAATGCTTATGTATTGATATTTACATTTGCCATTGTCTTTCCTTATATGACAATACTAACAAAATTGGCATTAATTTTTCGATGAAATGAAGTTGGTCACGTGATCAGACCTTCTTGAGTATGGAAAGCAAACTGCACGAGGCATTTGGAAGGTCTAGACTGTGACATCACACATGTATGTTATGTTGCATTTTGATAACAAAGTCTAAATAGTGCATTTTTTCATTGTAACATGAATAAAAATAAAAATAAAAATATAAGATATCATTTTTTAGAGTTTCACTGGGATATGACATGAAGTTGGTACGTGTTGAAATCTACTATTATAACGCCCTTCAGGCATGATAGGATTTGAACACATGACCAACTTCATGTCATATCCAAATGAAACTCTAAAAATAATATCTTATTTCTTAAATGAGAGCTATTCAATTGCATAAACTTTTTATGCCCCCATAATAGAAGATTCAGGGGCATATAGTTTTTGCTCTGTCCATCTGTCTGCCTGTTTATCTGTTTGTTCAAACTCCAAGTTCAAAGGGTCAAAATTAATTGTGCCCATGGGAAGGTCTTGTCACAAGAAATACACATGTGAAATATGAAAGCTCTAGCACTAACCATTCAAAAGTTGTGGCCAAGGTTAAAGTTTTTCAAAAGTAGATCAAACACCAACGTCAAAGAAAAAAGGTCAAAACTGTTAATACACAAGGGAAGTCTTGTGGCAAGAAATACACATGTGAAATATGAAAGCCATAGCACCAACCATTCAAAAGTTATGGCCAAGGTTAAAGTTTTTCAAAAGTAGGTCAAACTCCAAGGTCAAGGTCAATTGGTCAACTTGTTGGTACCCAAGGGAAGTAATTGTCACAAGGAATACACTTGTGAAATATGTAAGCCGTAGCACCAACTATTCAAAAGTTATGGCCAAGGTTAAAGTTTTTCAAAAGTAGGCCAAACTCCAAGGTCAAGGTCAATTGGTCAACTTGTTGGTACCGAAGGGAAGTAATTGTCACAAGGAATACACTTGTGAAATATGTAAGCCATAGCACCAACTATTCATAAGTTATGGCCAAGGTTAAAGTTTTTCAAAAGTAGGTTAACTCCAAGGTTAAGGTCAAGGATCAAAATTGTTGGTATACAAGGGAAGTTCTTGTCACAAGGAATATACCTGTGAAGTATGAAAGCCCTAGTGCTTACCATTCAAAAGTAATGGCCAAGGTTAAATTTTTTTAAAAGTAGGTCAAACTCAAAGGTTAAAGTCAATGGGTCAAGATTGTTGAAACCCAAGGAAAGGTCTTGTCACAAGTAATACACATGTGAAGTGTGAAAGCCCTAGAAACAATCGTTTAAAAGTTATGGCCAAGGTTAAAGTTTGGTAAAATTTTGCGAAAGTGGGTCAAACTCCAAGGTTAAGAGGTCAAATATGTTGGTACTCAAAGAAAGGACTTGCCACAAGGAATACATGTGAAATATGAAAGCCATAGCTCCAACCAATCAAAAGTTATGGGCAAGGCTAAAGTTTTTGTGGACAAACAGATAAACAGACAAACAGGCAGACAGAACAGATGGACGGACAGAGCCAAAACTATATACCCCAAATGTTTGATTAAGGGGGCATAAAAAGGTACCTTTTTTCCCAATTAGGTGAGTTAATTTTCCTAGTAGATTTTCCCTCCTAAAAATTAAAGAACATATAATAAAATAGAAATAATGCGATTGTTTTAATTCATTATAATTAAATTCCTGCACTACTGTTTGTCTTTTAAGGTATATATCTACTAAGTAGATCTAGAACTATTAGTTTAAATTGAAATAATCCTTAGAATATCATGTTTTTTACCTTATGTCAAAAATCTTGACACAAACCCATTGCAGAGGTGTCTGAGAGAGGAACGAATGACAACTCTGCAAGGGAGATTGGGTGAAAATATGGTTAAGTAACTATGAGCCTTGTATTGACCAAACTTGCATGGATGATACGTCTAAGGATGCACCGTACCAGCCTTGCTTCGGATACTAGATTTGACCTTCATTTTCTGGATGAGTGTCCAGGTTAAAGTTTTTAACAGGTTCATTCTAAATGACTATAAGCTGTATGCTGATCAAACTTGCATAGATAATACACCTATTGTTGCACACCACCAGAATTGCTACAGATGCTGGGTCTGACTTACATTTTGGAGATAAATGACCAGGTTGATGATTTTGGAGCAAGCCCATTACCAACCCTGAAGAGGCCTGTCTGGACCAAACTTGCATTGATGATGCATCTATTGATGCACACTACCAGACTTGCTTCTGATGCTGGATTTGACACATATTTTTAAGTTGAGTGATCAGGTTAAAGATTTTGAAGCAGGTTCAAGAAATTATAAAGGCCTACCTGGACCAAACTTGCATGGATGATACGTCTAGGGATGCACACTACCAGACTTGCTTTGGATACTGGATCAGAGTACATTTTCCAGATGAGTGACCAGGTTAAGATTTTTGAGCCAGTCCATTCCTAGGTAACTAATGACCATAGGTGTGTGGATGATGCTTCAAGGGAAGCACACTACCAGACTTGTTTTGTATGATAGATTTGGCCTGCATTTTCCTTATGTCTCATGACCAGGTTAAAGAGTTTAGAGCAAATCCATTTCCAAGTAACTGCAAGCCCTATCAGACCAAACTTGCATAAATGTTGCATCTAGCGATGCAGACTACTAGGTTATTTGTTTAGTGTGGGAATTTGCTTTACTTGAAGATAACATTTGATAAGGTGAGCTATGTAATCTTTGATTACCAATGTTTTTCTTTCTTTTTTTTTTTGGTTATAATTTTCACCTGATATTTTGTTGTAGTCCTTGTAGCTCCAAGCATGATATCAAGGGCATTCACTTTTTCCAACAGTGGATCAACAGTTCACTTGAGAGTCGATATTTACCCATGTAAGTATATGTTTAATATTCCTGGTTATTGCTTCATTTTCTCATTGTTATTTAAAAGGATATGAAGATTAATCCATGAAATCATTGCTAAAATGTCTGATGTATCTTGAGTAAATTTAAATTAAGGAGGAGAAGGACCTTGAGCTGAAAAAATACTTGTCATTCAATTTTTTTCATATTTTGTATATTTCTAATTAAGTATGTCCCACATATCTTAAAGCAGTTATATCATTAGATTTCTAACCTTATTTTGGAGATATTGATTGACAAATACTATGCCCTACAGTATCTAAGTGGAGTTTTAATTCTCCATGTTTCCGTGTGCATTACTCTGTCCATAATGGGATTTTTTAAGCATACATAAAAAATATCAAAGTGGACATGTGTCTTTTAAAATATTTCAGAGTATACCTAGGATTTAAAATTCGAAAAAGCAAGTTTTGTCTATCACACTGCATCTGGATAGGGAAAATTACGCACTTTTTAAGACAACTTAAACAATAAAAAACGTAATTTACAAAAAATTCTATCATTCAATATTTTTTAATTTACGTTGAAATGCAAATCCTTCAAATTATTGATTAACTGTAAAAGTTTCGAATGATGAAGCTGACCTCCTTATTTCACAGGACATCGTTAAAGAGGACATAAGCGTGACAAAAACTTGTCATGTTACATTTCTCGGGTACGGGAAAAACCAACTATGACGTCACACGTAAGCTAAATAAGCAAAATAAGATATACCTACATAAGATTTCCGTCATCAGCCATGCAAAAATAATTTTTGTGTTCCCCGTTTCTCAAAATATTTCATCATATACTGATTATGACCTGTTTTTACATAATAATACCGCCCCTCTGTTCACCGAGTATGATCTTGCTGTACTAACAGATCGTGTATGACGTCACCGACTTGTTGGACGCGCAGTTTAGGGAAACAGAGGAGTGGATCAATCTTTTTCATAATTTGTTAATATTTACAAGAATGTTAAAACTGTTATTTTTTTTTTATATAAGATGGTAATTAAAGTTAAAAAATTGTCAAAAAATTATACAAGAACTGATGCTTTACACGTTTTGCACTTATATAAACGGAGACTATGACGTAGTAAAACAGAGTCATGTGACCATGTGTCCTTCATCCCCTTAAAAAGAAAACTTTGTGGCTTATGATGTAAACTAATTTTTTTGTTTTTTTGCTTGTTTGTTTTTCAAAATTAAAGTTGTATCCTTATTTTAAAAAATTTAAAATCACAGTTTTTTTCAATAACATCAAAACGTACAGTTTTTCTACACTTTATACCACCATTCCTCACAATAAATTAAAAAAAACTATGCTTTTTGATATCATAGAGTACAACTGCTTCTTCAATAACAATGGAACTGGGAAATTTTTGTATCTTATGGTTGGTTGTCAACAAAATTACTTTTGTTAAAAATCATTCCGATTCCACACACAAGTACAATGTACTCTGAAGTTGATATTCAAGGACGCTGGAATTCCTCATTGACAACATCTATGTAGTCTTCGGAGACCAGGTTTTCCAACAGACTGTTGGAATGCCAACTGGCACTTAGTCTAACTGAGCTCCTATATTAGCCGACCTGTTTTTATGCCCCGCCATGAATATGGCCGGGGCATATAGTGTTTGTCATGTCCATCTTCTCTCCTTCTGTCCTTCCACCCTTCCGTCTGTCTTTGCGTCACACTTTGCGTTTAGCTCAGTTCAAAGCTTAGTTTCAAAGAAACCATACAAGATATTGTTGTCAAACTTTATATGTGGATACATACTGATGTAAGGTATTCAACTGCATCAACATTTTTTGACCTTGACCTTTTTAGCTCACCTGAGCTGAAAGCTCAAGTGAGCTTTTCTGATCACCCGTTGTCCGTCGTCCGTCCGTCTGTCCGTCCGTCTGTAAACTTTTCACATTTTCGACTTCTTCTCAAGAACCACGGGGCCAATTTTAACCAAACTTGGTACAAAGCAACCTTGGGTGAAGGGGAGTTTAAATTGTTAAAATGAAGGGCCAAGTCCCCTTCAAAGGGGAGATAATCAAGAAAATACAAAAATTTGGTGGGGTCATTAAAAAATCTTCTTCTCAAGAACCACTGGGCAAGAAAAGCTGAAACTTATCTGGAAGCATCCTAAGGTAGTGTAGATTCTTAATTGTTCAAATCATGACCCCCGGGGGAAGGGCGGGGCCACAATAGGGAATCCAAGTTTTACATTGAAATATGTAGTAAAAATCTTTAAAAATCTTCTTCTCAAGAACCACTGGGCCAGAAAAACTTAAACTTACTTGGAAGCATGCTGGGGAAGTGTAGATTCTAAATTGTTCAAATCATGACCCCCGGGGGTAGGGCGGGGCCACAATAGGGAATCCAAGTTTTACATTGTAATATATAGGAAAAATCTTTAAAAATCTTCTTCTCAAGAGCCACTGGGCCTGAAAAGCTGAAACTTACTTGGAAGCATCCTGGGGAAGTGTAGATTCTAAATTGTTCAAATCATGACCCCCGGGGGTAGGGCGGGGCCACAATAGGGAATCCAAGTTTTACATTGAAATATATAGGAAAAATCTTTAAAAATCTTCTTCTCAAGAGCCACTGGGCCTGAAAAGCTGAAACTTATGTGGAAGCATGCTGGGGTAGTGTAGATTCTAAATTGTTCAAATCATGACCCCCGGGGGTAGGGCGGGGCCACAATAGGGAATCCAAGTTTTACATTGAAATATATAGGAAAAATGTTTAAAAATCTTCTTCTCAAGAACCACTGGGCCAGAAAAGCTGAAACTTATGTGGAAGCATCCTGGGGTAGTGTAGATTCTAAATTGTTCAAATCATGACCCCCGGGGGAAGGGCGGGGCCACAATAAGTACTACCGGGGGGGGGGGGGGGGGGAAATCAGGTGAAAAACAGCAAGGCCAAAGTTACTCAGGTGAGCGCTGTGGCCCATGGACCTCTTGTCTTTGACCTTGAGTCCACTTTTCTTAAATTAGTGTTAAGCTCAGTTTCAAAGAAAACATTCAAGATATTGTTATCAAACTTCATATGCTGATATATACTGATGATAGTTATTCAACTGCATCAACATTTTCTGACCTTGACCTTTCCTTTGACCTTGACCTCACTTTTCTTAGATTAATGTTTAGCTCAGTTTCAAAGAAACCATTCAAGATATTGTTACCAAACTTCATATGCTGATACATACTGATGATATTCAACTGCATCAATAATTTTATGCCCCGCATGAATATGGCCGGGGCATATAGTGTTTGTCATGTCCGTCTTCTGTCCTTCCGTCTGTCCTTCAGTCACACTTTGCGTTAAGCTCTGTTCAAAGCTTAGTTTCAAAGAAACCATCCAAGATATTTTTATCAAACTTCATATGCTGATACATACTGGTGAGAGCTATTCAACTGCATCAATATTTTTTGACCTTGACCTTGACCTTGAATTAACTTTTTCTTAAATTAGTGTTTAGCGCAGTTTTAAAGAAACCATTCATAATATTTTTATCAAACTTCATATGCTTATACATACTGATGTAACCTTTTCAACTGCATCAACAATTTTTGACCTTGGCTTTCCTTTGACCTTGACCTCACTTTTCTAAAATTAGTGTCAAACTTCAAATGCTGATACATACTGATGTAAGCTATTCAACTGCATCAATATTTTTTCACCTTGACCTTTCCTTTGACCTTGACCTCACTTTTCTCAATTTGTGTTTAACTCAGTTTTAAAGAAACCATTCATAATATTTTTATCAAACTTCATATGCTAATACATACTGATGTAACCTTTTCAACTGCATCAACATTTTTTGACCTTGACCTTTCCTTTGACCTTAACTTCATTTATTTTAAATTAGTATTCAGCTCAGTTTTAAATAAACCTTCTGAAATATTTTTATCAAACTTAATATGCTGATACGTGTTTATGAGAACTATTCAACTGCATCAAAGACATTTGACCTTGAACTTTTCTGGGACCTTGACCTCACTTTTCTTAAATTTACATTTTGCTTAATTTTAAAGAAACCATTTAAGATATATTTATGTAAGCTTATGCACTTATACATAATTTGGTGAGAATTTATCATCTATATCCAACTTTTTAGCTCACCTGAGCCAAAGGCTACATATTCCTATGTAAAAAATTGACCCTCTGTTGTAGCCCCATCCTACCCTCAGGTGTCATGATTTGAACAAATTTGAATCTAAACTATCTGAGGATGCGTCCATATTCATATGACTAATCATGGCCTTTGAAAAGAAGATTTTTATCCCCCGCTTTTACGAAAGTGAGGGACATTGAATCTCGTTCATCTGTCAGTCTGTCAATCTGTCAGTCTGTCTGTCTGTCTGTCAGTCTGTCACAAAAACTTAAACCTTGGTCATAACTTTTGAATGAGAAGAGATAGGGCTTTCATGTATCACATGTACATTTACCTGTGTCAAGACCTTTCCAAATATACTATGATTTTTGACCCTGTGACCTTGAAGTTTGACCTACTTTTCAAAAATTTTATCTTTGCTTATAACTTTTGATTTAGAAAAGATAGGGCTTTCATATTTGGTATGTGCATTACCTGTGTCAAAACCTTTCCAAACATACTTCATGACCTTGAAGTTTAACCTACTTTTCAAAAATTTTAACATAACTTTAAATTGGTCATAACTTTTGAATGAAAAAAGATAAAGCTTTCATATTATACATATATATTACCTGTGACAAGGCCTTTCCAAATATACTACAATTTTTGACCCTGTGACTTTGAAGTCTGACCTACTTTTCAGAAATTTTATCTTTGCTTACAACTTTTGATTGTGAAAAGATGGCTTTCATATTTGACATGTGAATTACCTGTGACAAGACGTTTCCAAGCATGCTATAATTTTTTACCCCTTGACCTTGACCTTCATGTTTCAAGTATTTTCAGGTAGTGTAGATTCAAGTTTGTTCCAACCATGACCACTGGAGGTGGGGCAGGGCCACAACAGGGGAGTCAAAGTTTACCATAGGAATGTTTTGGATATATCTTTAAAAATCTTCTTTTCAAGAACAGCTAAGCCATTATTAGAAATATTAATACAGAAGTATCCTCAGGTAGTGTAGATTAAAGTTTGTTCCAATCATGACCCCTGGGGGTAGGGCAGGGGCACAACAGGGGGGTCAAAGTTTACCATAGGAATATATAGGAAATATCTTTAAAAATCTTCTTCTCAAGAACAGCTAAGCCATTATTAGACATATTAATACAGAAGTATCCTCAGGTTGTGTAAATTAAAGTTCTAATCATGACCCTTGGGGGTAAGGCAGGGTCGCAAATGGGGGGGGGTCAAAGTTTACCATAGGAATGTATAGGAAATATCTTTAAAAATCTTTTTCTCAAGAACAGCTACTCCATTATTAGACATATTTTAAGATAATATTAATACAGAAGTATCCTCAGGTAGTGTAGATTAGGTTTGTTCAAATCATGACCCCTGGGGGTAGGGCGGGGCCACAACAGTTGGTCAAGGTTTACACATGAATATATAGATGTAATGGAGTAAAACGCATTGAAGACTTCAAATAGTGGAATGACCTGACAACCCTTGGAATGGACTAGCCTAAGGGTATATAAGGCAAAGCTTTGGGAAAGTCAGGCATTCGGAAGGTAGCTGAAGAAGTTGGATGATGAATCAGCAATAAAGAAGTTAAGGTATTCCATCATAATTTAGTTTTGTTTGTATTCTAGCCTCTGATTGGTTAATATCCAAAAAGGAACACAAATTATTTCTGTATAACCTGGTTTAGTATGGGGACACACACCCCTGACAACCAGCTGAATCATCTGTATCCATACAATCCTCTCATTTCCATGGAAAATTCCAGATTTAATAAATGTACCTTTAACTTCAAACAGTAATTCGATCTTACCACATGTAAACAAACAACAAGGCTGCTAGGCCTATGTATCAGTTTTTACCTCCCCTCGCTTCCCATCACTTCCGTTACTTCCGTTACTACGGTTGTATTATTGAGCGGCAAATTTGAACTAATAAAAAGTAACGAAATTTTACACCCATAATTATTTAATGATTTTAAAATTAAATTATAAGGAATGACTCTAATTCTTGGCCAAATTATTCGAGTATAACCTGGTTTGGGTCAGTTTACGCTGTTTTATAATCCGCTTTGCGGGTTATAGAGCGTAAACTGACCCAAACCAGGTTATACTCGAATAATTTGGCCAAGAATTAGAGTCATTCCTAAACTAATAGCAAAAGATTCAATGAAATTGAATACATAACAGATGTGTAGGTGTTGAATACGCAGTATATTTAGACATAATTCCCATTTATTACTATTAGCACATAAGGGTGGGATGTGTCCTAATTTATGACCTTGAATTTTGGTAAGAGTTATCTCCTCTGTTTTTAATTAATAAAAAAAAAATCAATTTAAAACAAAAAATTTTCCCTGGTAAAAAATATCATTTTCAATTGTCATTCTATTTCTAATAAGTTTTAGTGCATTTTTTCACTACAGTATTTATTGATATTCTTATTATTTGAATTTTTATTTTTAAAAAATTGCTCCATAGACTTCAATGCAATCTTTGTTAAGTACTTAAGTTCTGGGTGTACTAAATCTGAAGAAGATTGAGACAACTGGTTCTTATCTATCAATGGGAACCTAGGGGAGATTAAGTACCTTACCCAGTCCCCATCTCTAGATGAAAGAGAAATTTAAGTACTATGTGATATACCCTCAGACATAGCTGTCCAATCATTAACTCAGACAGAGTAAAAGGAAAACCTATATATCCCTTGTAAGAACCTGGTCATACACATTACATAGGAAATATCTTTGAAATCTTCTTCTCAAGAACAAATAAGCCATTATTAGTCATATTTATACAGAAGCAACCTTAGGAATTGTAGAATCAAGTTTGTTCAAATCATGACCCCCCAGGGGTTGGGACACGACAGAGGGTCAAAGTTTTGCATAAGAATATATAGGAATCATCTTGAAAAAATCTGCTGCTGAAGAACAGCAAAGCCATGATTAGTCATATTATTATAGGAGCATCCACAGGTAGTGTATGAATTCAAATTTGTTCAAATTTATGGTGCTGTGGGTAGGGTGGGCCACAATGGCCAATCAGAGTTTTTTACATAGGAATACATAGGAAAAAAATCTTTAAAATTCTTCTATTTAAGAACAGCAAAGCCTTGATTAGTAATATTGATATAGAAGCATCCTGAGGTAGTGTAAATTTAAGTTTGCCCCCCCCCTAAAACTTTTCAATATATTGAACTGATTTTTACTTCTTCCTAGCCAGTGTGCTCAGGTGAGCTATGTGGCCCATAGGCCTCTTGTTGGAGATAACGTCTTCCAACAATCTGTCGGAATTTCCATGGGTACCAATTTTATCTGTCCATCATACAAAACATGACATACAATCAAGACAGTTACAATTTCATCCCAACCACTTAGACACCGAAAACAGGGGACCAAAATTCTTTGAATTTGTTTGTATTTACCTTTACCTTCCCAATGACCTTTGTCTTTACTTAAAAAATAAAATGCTTTCTTTGGTTGTTAGTAAGGGAATTAATGTTGCAGCTGTTGCAGCAAAAATGCATAACCAGCGTAAGCGGGTTATGTAATTTTTTTTCTGCAATAGCTGCATTGTTAATTCCCGTACTAACAAAGAAAGAAAGACAATTTATTGTATATATTTATATCTGTACAAATAATCATTTAAAGTAGGATTTAGTAGATGAAATATTGTCTTATTGATATGTACGTCATTGTACGTTTCATTGATGGGAGAGCCACTGCTCAATAAATCTGTAGAGGTGAGCGGTGTTTACTAGCTGATAAACGGCAATGGTTTTCTTAAGAAATAGAGGAGATAATATTTAATGGATGTAAATATCATTCATTGTGTGTAAAACTCAGTTTTAAAGGAACTATTCAAGATATTTTCTTTAGACAAGTTTTCATGTTACATTACCACTGAACCCTGGGTGAGGCATTCCTATGGACATATTTGTAGCTTCATCATACACAAATAATCATTGATTGCTGTTTTAGCATTTGCTCTTTAATTTCAGATGCCTTTCCTGCCACAAACAGATCAGCTGGTCTTTTATTCCTCCTCCACCATGTCTATTTATAAACCTTTGGCACATGGACATAAGAATGGAATGTGTACCTCCAGAGATCCACATTCTAAATCAGATATACAGATTGGGTGCCATCTATATTAATGCAAATAAGCATTATACTGTCTGGGTCAGGAGGCCTGAAGGAATGACATTTTATGATGACAGCAATGTGGATTCACAAGACAAGTACTCAGGAAGATTTGATTATAGCAAGGAATTTCCAGGACGTGGAAAACCATGCTTGGCCTCTTACTACAGTGTACATTGCTGATAATAATATTGTTGATAATTGAAAACATTGGAATAAAATGCTATTTATTTAATCACTTCTGTGCCACATGGCCGATTTTAATCCGATCGCACAGTTGCGTAGAGTGCCACGGGGCCAATTTTGAACCTATTTCATTGAAATGAATTGTGGTTATGTATTTCTTTTACTTTTATCTAACGTGAATAATCATTTAGCCTCAGTAAGTTTTATATTCCATAATATTGGAGATTTCATGATTTATTTGTAGAATAACTTGAAAATTTCTGGCAAATATTAATGAAATAAAATTCATGGCACTGACGATTCCAAGAATTTTTTCTGATAAATGAGTTGTTATTCATAATGTACTGTAGAAGTTTGGGCTATACGGACCATCGGCCTTGGTAGCTCAGTGGTAGAGCATCTGACTTGTAATACAGGGGTCCCGGGTTCGATTCCTGGTCCAGCCATATATTTTCTTTATGCATTCCTCCTTTCCTACTACATATGATGGCCAGTGTGAGTGGCCTTGTTTAGGGTTATGTATAAATTAGTAAGTCCTAACACGCCCATGAACTTGTGTCTTCGAGGTCGAAGACTGTTTAAGGAGGAAGAGATTTGGAAATTCGGGCTATACGGACCATGGATATCTACCTAGGTAGCTCAGCGGTAGAGCACCTGACTAGTTGTGCAGGGGTCCCGGGTTCGATTCTTATCCAGCCATATATATATTTTCTTCAAGGATTCCTCCTTTCCTACTTCAGTACTACTAATTTTTTTTTGGCAGTATTTTGCAAAAGTAAATGTATATTGTACATGAATTCATTCTGATTGTATTCTTCATACTACTGAAAATTCAGTATAGACATACACTTGTCTTTTATTACAGCAACGGTGAGGGGTAGACTTGACTTTACCTGTCCCAAGATCTGAAAGATACGTGCACCCATTGCACTATGACGTAAGATTTATGTCATTCAACTGATAAGGGTAAGTCTAGCACACACTCGACTGCTAATAGGGTTAGTCTTGCGCCGACCCGAGAGATAAGGGTTAGTCCTTGCACAAGTATTAGACTGATTATGGTTAGTTTCGCACCCATTCAAGAGATTGGGCTTAGACTTCGCACACTATAACTATTTCACTGATTAGGGTTAGTCTAGCACCTGCCTGGAAGATTTGGGTTAGTCCTCACATACCATCCATTTGCAGGGATGGGGTTATCGTAATCAGTAATCGTAATCACCTGTAATTGATTACAGTTTGCTGTGTTATCAAGAGTAATCAGTAATCATGCATTTTTGTGATTACAAGTAATTATACCCCAGCTCCAAAGGACAACAAATTTTGGTCACAGTTTTCTCAGCAACAACTCATCGCAGATGCTTAAAATTTTAGCACACTCTTTGTTTAGGCATGTCATATGGTGGGATTCATTTTTGTGCGATTGCGATGTCAACTTCCTGTTAATCCGTGCGTCTGTCCATACCATACGTAACAAATTTTGATCGCAGTTTTCTCAACAATTACTCATCGCAGATGCCTGAAATATAAGCACATTCTGTTTAGGCATGCCATATGGTGGGATTCATTTTTGTGCGATTCCAATGTCAACTTCCTGTTAATCTGTGCGTCTGTCCATACCATAAATAGCAAATTTTGGTCGCAGTTTCCTTAGCAACTACTCATTGCAGATGCTTGAAAGTTTAGCACGCTCTCTGTTTAGGCATGCCATATGGTGGGATTCATTTTTGTACGAATCCGATGTCAACTTTCTGTTTATCCATGTGTCTGTCCATAAATGATCTTGTGTATTCAAATCAAAGCGGGGGTATTATGAGAGAGCATTGGCTCACAGACTTCTTGTTTAATCAATTACTCCGAAAAAAAGTCTTGTAATCATCGATTACTTTTTGATTACAGTGGTTAAAAAAAAGAGAATAAAATCATGGTCTTTCATGATATTCAGTGCATATTTTTTTCAGTCTGCAATTTTGTTTATAAGCAAAAATTATTTTGAAAATGATAGGCTATATATAGAATTTTTATAATCAGGTCTCCTTGTTTTGTTGACCATGCACTCACTGTAGGCCTTTCAACTGCCGCTAGGGTTCGATGTAAAGAACAATAACTCATTACCGAAACTTGTTTACAGCGGGTCCGAGGTAGTCAATTGTTTTTAAGCATGTCAAGTTTTAGCATTTCCAAAGTTCTCCTTCACTGTCAGCGGAATCCAGAGGTTTTTAAATTTAGCGCAAATATGATGTAGTTACCGACACTGTACAATAATACACAAGTGAAATTTTAAATAAAATTATAAAGTGGAATCTACCCCCCCCCTTCTTAATTTTAATTTAAACAATATTTTATTCACAGGTGTAAGAGTGAATAGGATTGGGCAGCAGGCTCAGCCTATTTTAGCCCTCTCCCTACATCAAGGTCAAGGCAAGTACATAGTAAATTAATTATTAAAGCAAAAGTAAGAATGTACAAAAGAAGAAAGCAAAAACAAAAATGAACAAAGTTACAGAAGGCAAAAGAAGCAAAATTAGAAAAGGAAAGAAAAAAGAAAAATAATAAAAAAAAAAAATAAGCAAGAGTACAAAGTAGTACCGGTTTGGAAATATTCAGAGTATTACAATATACCACATATGTATATGACAGTGATTATATAAATCGCTTTGTTGCTACAAATATTTGTATATTAATATCAAGTCCATGATTAGAACTACCATTTAACAATAAATCACTTTCAGATATATGGTCACAATTTATAATATTATGTATTGATTGAAAAAGTACATTTCTTGGAATTGTATATCTTGGACATACAAAAAAGTAATGATAGGCATCTTCAATACTGCCAGCACAATGTTCACACATTGGAGTTTCTGCTAAACATTG